CGGTCGTACAGCATGCAGTACAGAAGCGCTTGGATCTCATCTGACATGGCCAACTCCGTCTTGTTGACAGTGCGAGCATATCCCATTGCCTGCAATGCTCCTTGCGGACTACCGGCGTTCACACAAATGTGAATAAGAAGACTGAGTATGCGAGAAGACATGGGCTTTAGGCGTGGAATCACCTTGGTATGCGTGTGTCTCACGGCGCCCTTGGAGGGAGCGGAGCCTGTCTCCACAATGCGTCCCTCCGTGTCGTCCTGCAGCAAGTCCACCGCCCAACTCAACGCAGAGCGCCAGTGTATCACTGCCGTGGTGTTCGTATTTCGCGTCTTGGGGAATGTGAGTGATGCGGTTTCGGTTATGGCGCGATTATGTGCGAGCACACACAGGAGCACCGCCTCCATTGCTTCTTGCGTCAGCATGGTCCTTGAGGGCACAATGCACTTTTGTAGTATCTCCACCACCAGGGATGCCTGTTTAGCAGCCCGCATCTGCAGCACGAGCGTGCTGGCTACGTCGCATGGAATCGTGCTTGGGGACATCGACAGCATTACCGAGGACGCGAGACGCCATTCATTATGTTCCGCGCATTTTCGCAGCAGGGCACTCACCACCAAGGGGTGGCGCAGCGCAGCGGCAACCCTAGTGTCGCGATGTATGTCGGCCGTCTCGTGAAGAAACGAGGCGGAGACCTCGGCGGAAGGAAGTTTCTCAACGATAGCTGCAATAAATGGCACCGCTGTCTCGGGTTCACTTTTAAGCAGCAGCAGGCTTTCTTGAACTGCGGGGTAGTTCAGTGGTGAAGCCTCCAGTTTATACTCCTGTTGCTGATGCAGCAGTTTCTTGTCCTCCGGGATTGGCGGCGAAGTGGCCTCACCAGAGACCGCCGGCAGCACAACACTCTGCCTCATCATCAGCTGCTTGAATGCCTCCCACGGGTACTGCCGCAACACGGCTGTGAGCGCAACAGTCTTTTCCTGCGATGGGTACGTCGTACTCGCGGCAAGATACGTGAGGTAGGACACACACATCTCGTTCGACAGTGCCGTTTTCCATGGCACAGCCGCTACCACATCGTTAAGCACCGACAAAACGTGTCTCTGTTCTGCCGTCGGCCCCTTGCTGTTGTCCACCAGCATCGCATTCGCAGCAGCAGATACTGTTGCGGCGCTTGTACCAAGCGGCCGCAGACTCTGTATGCTATCAGCGAGCATGTTGGGTGCCTGCGCATGCACCATGCTGAGAAAGTCCAATGCCATAGGCCACGTCGCTGGCGTCGCTGAGCAACGAGCGGCGTCAACAAGCATCGGAAGTGTCAGCTTCTCGTTCGCCTGGCTGAGCTTCAGTAAAGACACGGCGGCTTCCCACTGGCGGTGCGGAGCAAGCAAGCGCAGCGTGGATAAAGTCATGCGTGTGGGAACAGCATTTCCGTGGGAAAGGATGGCCTCCGAGTATGTGCGGAAGGCCGCCTTCCACATAACAAGGCTACCGGCACCGCTGCGCTGTACATGGCGATTGTGCAGCAACATGCGGGCCAGCAGGGCACGGTACGTGTCGACTGCGATGGGCTGCGAGTGGTAGGCGGCGTCGACCAACGCACACCCCTTCTCCCACGAAACGGAGCTAATAGCGCGAGTGAACATGTCGGGGCGGCCAACGAATAGTTCCCGATGCTCGTGGTAGAGTGGCGACATATGTGACGTGGGGCTGCGCTCCATCCGCTTGAGGAAGTCCTCAAAGGTGTAGCCGGAACCCGTTGAGGGCATCTCGCGTCCAGCAGCAGCAGCAGCAGCAGGAACTCTGTGATGATCTCAATCCGCCCTGCCATAGTTGCACACACACACACACAGACACGCATGCAAGGGAAACGGAAAGAGACGAAAGGACGGAGGAAAAGACAACGTTTGATAATTCCAAAGATACTCATCTGAGTGAGGTATACACAAGCACCGAAAACGACATCGTAGATATTGTTCATTCTACCACACGTGGTAGAATAAGTTCCATCGAGGAACGTGTATTTTGCCCTCTTGTTCATCATTCACACAGTTCCAAAACCGACGGTGCTCGGACGCCGTAATGGCAAGGTTGCAGAGTGAGAAGAGCAGCACTCCCAAAGGGGCTGTGCAGCATGTCACAAGCAACAACACGTAGCGATACCCTTCCCACTGAAGCGTCGCCGCCAGCACCACATGCAGAGCATCGGCAGGGGAGACCAACGCCCATATACTGAGAGCATTAACGACGTACATCGCAATCTCACAGGCGTAGTGCGGCTCCAGCACATACGCGAAAAGGCCAGTGCGTGGGAAGCAGTAGGTGGACGACGAGGAGGAAGAGCCCAGCGCGTCAGCTGCGTCACGAGCGTCACCACCTCGCACGCCCACTAGGGACTGCTGAGAAGTTGCGGCAGCACCCCCACGAGGTCCAGCTGGTCCGCCACGCAACTTCGCCAGCATGCGGTGGTGCAACGACTGCACCCACTGAAGGAGAAGGTGCAGCAGAAAGAGGACCACAGCGGCAGGCGCAACGGCGGAGGAAGAGCGATGAATTCCACCAGGCAATTCAGAAGCGCCCACCTCACGCCGGCACACGAGCGCGGCCCGAAGGGTGTGAAGAACGACGAGGCTGCTGGAGCTGGCGGCGAAGATGTAAAAAGAGCATCCGGCCGCAGCCGCAAACAACGTCACACGATCGTGCGGTCCGCCTCGGAACCGGTGAACGCACAGACACTCCCAAAAGCGCACAACACAGTGAATCAAAAAGGCAATCAGTGGAAGCGACTTGTAGTGCCCCAGCGCGTCGTTCACCGTGAGGCCTGCATTGGCAGCCGCAGAGCTTGTTGAAGCTGCCACACAAAGCGGGCCAGAGTCAACATACAACAGCAGGAGACTGGACACAATACCCGTCAGATAAAAGGCACAGAAACTATACTTACGACTCACCTGCACGCGGCAAAGAGAGGAGCGCTCCAAAAATGCAACAACGCCAGCGACACACATCCGAGACCATCTCCAGCAGTGTGTTTGCCTCATGAGGGCCACGCCACGACGAGGGAAGTGCGTTTTCTCGCTGTTGCGCGCTGCAGGTGCGGCAACGTAGCGTCCGCCGTAGCGCGCCAGGCTGCCAAAGCGGGGCTCGCCGACACGCAGAGCGAGAATCAGCAGCGACGCCGTCCAGTACGCACACGTCAGGCATGCAAGCAGCACATCCGCGGAAAGATGCATCCATGCAGCCCAGTCACTCAAGCCACTGCAACACTTCACCAGCAAAAGCGCCGCCTCTATCAGAAAACAGGGAAGAAAGCAGTGTCTAGCTGCTATCCGTCCCTTTGAGACTTCAACGTGGTGCCAAATAAAAAAGCAGAGAGAGAGAGAGAAGGCGGAAGAGGAGAAACAGAGTGAGCGTGATACTCTGAGCACAATGTGAGTAATGTTTTCTTTGCTGGTACCCAGCACAGACAACAACAACAAAAGGGGTATCATATAGAAAGGAATAATGGAACTGCTGCGAGAGAATTTAGTATTGCACGCCGACCGAGCCCACACATACCGATGCAAGCT